TGTGAAATTAACATATTACTAGATGACTCATGACCGGATCAGTATGCAAACCAAGCCGGCTTTAAGCTACATTTGTGTTCATACTGGAATCGTGAGTCACCTGAACCACATCGAAACCACCTCCCCGAAGTGGTTTGTGATTTAGCCGGCTTTGACTGTTCATACTAGGCCACATGAATCCCGCTTTGACGATTGATTGATATAAGAGTTTGCAGTATACATGTTTGAGAATACATGTCTCGTCATGACGACAAAAGTGACATATTAGATACAGCAAAGTCAAATAAAATGTATATGCAACAATACATATCCCACAATGCTACTGTGTTACATTTATAGGATTGCCAGCTAATCCTTCACCATGAAAGAAATCCCACATTTTTACGATCCCTATAAATTCTTTATCTCCTTATACTCAAACGAAAAGATGGATGCGATAAATGAATGTGGACTGATGTTTCAGAAAATCTAATGGACCAATAACTTTAAAACACTATTATGTACATGTATGTAATCCCCCATCCATTTTACAAGGCTTAAGCTGATGATGGGTTAATCTTGTAAATATCCAATTTTAAGCTTGATCTTACCTAGAATGCATTTATCCCATTGTATCTTTGAGTGATAATGGTATTTTGAAGAATTGCAAAAGACAAGTCAAATGTTGTACGTAGGACCATTCTGATGTTGTACATGTATAACCCACAACTCTGGGAATATTTCATGACATACTCTACAACTTTTGGAATAACCCATTGCATATCTCATGGCATGGCATGGCATATATTGTAATAGTAATAATACTATGAATTACAGGAGATATTAAAATTTAGTGTTTGTTTCTAAAAATGGAGATGGTTAGTAGTTGACATGACTACAAAAATATTGGTATTTTACCTTAAGGTATAAGTAATATATTTTTTTTTGTAAATTTCACTAAAATTACTCAAGTACTGGTTTTCATTTGGTGATAAATACAAAGCTAAACAATTAGTGAAAATAGCTCAAATTCCTATTTTACATTACTTTATATTTGTTTGTCATAAAAAATTTCATAAATTTTATATTGGACATACACTTTTATTTTTAGGCCCCGTTCGGACGAAGTCCGAAAACGGGGACTTATAATTCGGTCTCCGTGCGTTAGTGCGTTAGTGCGTCCGTGCGTCTGTGCGTCCGTGCGTCCGTCCGGAGTCATATCTCAGAATCCCTTGGACCGATTCCGTTCATTCTTTGCATGTGCCTAGTACTTTATGTGGGACATATGCACATGCTTTGTCAGTTTTCATTCAAATTTAGTACATAGATCATACATGTTAGGATACATGTCCCCGATCGTCTGTGAGTTCCTGAGTCTGTCCGTCCGACCGTCCGTGTGTGCGTATGTCTGTGCGTCAGTCTATCCAATGTCATATTTCAGAATCCTGTGGACTGATTCCGTTCATTCTTTGCATGTGCCTAGTACCTTATGTGGGACATATGCACATGCAGTGGTTTAGCGATTCCATTCAAAATGGCCGACTGGCAGCCATCTTGTTTTTTGAAAATGTTGTATTTTGGACATGCTTTGTCAGTTGTCATTCAAACTTGGTACATAGATTATACATGTTAGGATACATGTCCATGACGATTTATTTCGCAATTGGATCAAAGATGGTCGACTGGCAGGCATCTTGTTTTTGTTTTTTTATGC